CCGGAGCTCGGTGAAGCACGAGGTCACCACTAGGCTGGACCTCAAGTCGGCATCGGGCGTCGACTCACCGTGTGTCTCGTGCGTTGGCGGGAAGCTGACACGGCACACCTTTCTCGAGCAAGGCTCCGACGTCGACGACTTGCTGGCCGTCGTGCACATCGACCTGTGCGGGCCATTCCGTGTGGCTGCCAAGGACAGTAGCCTGTACTTCTTGCTGCTGAAGGACCGCAAGACCCGCCATGTGTGGGTGAGGCCGGTCGCCAAGAAGTCGGATGCGCTGCAGGAGTTCGTACAGAGGCTGGCGGTGGCTGAGCGACAGACAAAGAACTCGGTATTGATGCTGCGATTTGACCGGAGAGGGGAGTTCCTTAGGAAGCAGTCCACCGACTACGACCTGACCTGCCCCTACACCCCGCAGCAGAACGGCATGGCGGAGCGAGAGATGAGGACAGTGGTGGAGTCAGTGCAGACTATTTTACTGCACATGGGCGTGCAACACCACTGGTGGCATCTCGCTCTGCGGCAGGCCATCTGGGTCCGCAACTGCCTAGAGAGGTCGACCTGCTGCCAGGGACGACGCCATACGTGCTGCTGACCGGGAAGAAGCCCGACTTGTCGGTGGCACGGGTGTGGGGCTGCATGGCGCAGTTCTTGGTCCCCGAGCAGCAACGTGGTGGGAAACTGAAGTCGAAGGCCTAGTGGGGCCTTCACGTCGGCGTGTCAGAGGAGAGCAAGGGCTGGGAGCTCCTCGACATTGCTAACAGCCGGGTGGTCACCACGTCGGACGTGGTGTTTTACGAGAATATGTCACTGGAGGTGTGGAAGTCGGAGCACGGGCCGGCCTCGGGACGGACGCCGACCACCCCGTCGACAGACACCTCGACGGCGACACTCCCTTTGCTCGCCGAGGTCGGTGAGCCTGCTGCAGAGGACGTCGAGGATGTCCCCTCTCCCTTCCCCTCCCCTGTCCCTCCTGCCCCTCCCCTTGAGGCCGACTTGCATGGGTCGCCTCCGGTGTCGACCTCCGGCGATGAGGGGAGAATTGTGGCGTCACATGTGGCGCTGGCCAAGAGCATCGCCGGTGGCCGACGTGACGTCCAGCAAGTCGACGTGAGAGTGAAGTCGACGCCAGCAGGGGTTGTGCAGGCCGAGGAAGTGCAGCCGATTGTGGTGAAGTCGGCAAAGGGAGCAGCGGCGGCAAGGCAGCAGCTGACAAGGGAGCAGGTAGTAGCGAAACCGACCACAGAGCAGTCGGCGACCGGACAGTCGGCAAGGGAGCCGACCACAAGGTAGAAGTCGGCAGGGAAGCCAACCGAGATGCAGCAGGTAGCTGAGTGCAATGACGCCGGTGATGAAGGAGGGGACGCCGAGCAGTCCACTGACAGCGACGTGGTGGAGGTCCAGTCAAGACCACGACAGTCAGGCCGAATTCGAAGGCCGCCCGACTTCTACGTATCGGCTGCCTTCACTACGGCATACGACGAGGTCGACGATGACCTGCTGTATGACGACGCCGAGGAGGATGAGGAGCTGCCGGAGCTTGACCCTGACATGCACGTCGAATCCGAGCACCGCTGGGACATCTCGATGACTACGATGAAGGAGGCGCTGGCGAGCTGGAAGGGCAAGGCGGTGAAGGCCGCCATGGAGGAGGAGATCTGCAGCCTCATCGGCATGGGGACGTGGGAGCTGGTCGAACGCCCGTCGGGAGTGAACATCATGAAGAACCGGTGGGTGTTGACGACGACACCGTCGAGCGCGAGAAGGCAAGGCTGGTCGTGAAGGGCTTCACTCATGTGTATGGCGCCAAATACGACAACACGTACGGGCCGGTGAGCAGCTACGTCACGCTGAGGATCTTCCTCAGCATCGTCGCCGTCCTCAACCTCAACCTGATGCAGCTCGACATTAAGAACGCCTTCCTGCAGAGCAAGCTCGACCGGGTGCTGTGAAAGTACCAGCCGGACTACTTCAATGATGGGACCGGACGGGTGTGCAAGCTGCTGAAGAGCCTCTACGGGCTGAAGCAGTCGCCGCCGCTGTGGTACTTGGCTCTCAACAACGTGCTGGTTGGCGCCGGCTGGAAGAAGAGCCAGGTTGACAAGGCACTCTACTTCAAGGTCGGTGACGACAAGGTGGCCTGCTGGGTGCTGGTCTACGTCGACGACTTGCTTGCTGCCAGCAGTAGTGCCGAGATGATGAGGGAGCTGAAGGAGCTGCTGGAGGCCGCCTTCGAACTGCGTGAGATCTCGCCGGTGCAGAAGTACCTCAGGTTGGAGATCGTGCGCGACAGGCCAGCAAGGAAGCTGTGGCTTCACCAGCAGGGCTACGCCGACAAGCTGCGTAGACGGTTCCTCGATGAGGAGCAGACTGGGTGCACCCCGAAGACGCCGGTCTCGATAGGTGCCTACGCCGAGCTGACGTTCAACGACGAGGAGGCGCAGGAGTGCCAGGAGGAGGAGTATCGGCAGAAGGTCCGCTCGCTGTAGTTCGCGGCGACGACGACGAGGCCGGACATTGCCTTCGCCTGCAGCAAGCAGGGGTGCAGCCTCACAGTTAGGAGTGACCAGCACTTGCGCGAGGTCGACCGCTGCCTCGCCTACCTCGCCAACACCCGTGACACCGCCCTGGAGTTCGGCTGTGGACCTGAGTCGCTGGAGCTGGTCGGCTACGTGGACGCCGACGACGCCGGCGACAAGCAGAAGAGGACGAGCACGGGCGGCTATGTGTTCGTCTACGGAGGGGTTGCGATCTCCTGGTTGAGCCAGCGCATCAAGTGCGCGACGTTGTCGTCGACCGAGTCGGAGTACGTGGCGGCCACGGAAGCCGGCAAGGAGGGACGCCGCCTTCGCTTCCTTCTTGCAGAGTTCCGGCAGCTGGATGCCGGGAAGCCGACCTTCCTTCGGGTGGACAACAAGTCGGACATCACGGTCGCCAAGGGCATGGGGTTGACGGGCAACCTCAAGCACATGGAGCTGCGACAGGCCTGGCTGCAGTACATGGTGAAGCATGGGAAGTTTTCGCTAAAGTGCATCCCGACCTTTCAGCAGCCGGCCGATAACCTGACGAAGGCGCTGCACTATCCGGCCTTCAAACGGTGCTCCGTCGCAATCGGCCAGGTGCGCTTGGCCGACGTGGGCGACGGCGACGAGGACGTGCAGCAGGAGGTGCCATGCCCTCTTGCATGGCTGGTGCGGTGACCAGCATGCTGTGTGTTGAGTGCACGTCGACGAGCTATTCTCTGAGGAGTGCTGCCGTGAGGGATGGGGGCCTAAGCGTGAACGCGGCAGGGGAGTGTCAACGGGAGTTGTTTGTTGGCCCTGTCCTCACTTGGGCGGAGCCGAATTCGTGGTCGGGTGTGCGGGAGGTGCAACCGACCTGCAGCAGTGGGCGCCGACTTGGGAGGGCGCCGACTTCAGGAGGTCGACTTGGGAGGTCGACCTAACAGGGCGTCAACTTGGTGACGCCGACCTCGTGAAGCCGACTTGGTGTGGTCGGCTGACAACAGGGTTGGTGGACCTGGAATTGGTCAATCAGGGGCGTGGTCGACTTGGTCTGGTCGACCAGGTGGTGGTCGTGTACCTGGGCGGTCGACGGGCACGAAGAAGAGAGGCGCCGACTTGGGGGGCGCCGACCTAGGTAGTGGCCGACTTGGAGAAGTCGGCTGGTGGTCGTCGACTTGGGAAGTCGACGAGCACATACAACTTCCGGTCGACTTTCTTCGAAGAAGTCGACCCCGACCTGGTGGTTTCCAGGTCGACCAAGTTACCCGGGCGACGAAGTTCTGCGGAGGCACGCGACAGTCGCCCATGTGTTAGTGGCGAGGCCGATCTCGGTGTGGTATCCCAATGTCGACGTGGCTGATCAGATGCAGTCGTCAACGCCAGATTGATTTGGTGTATGCGCTGTGCATGTGACAAGGCACGGTGCGCCAATCATCTGCGAGCACCTGCGAAGCAGGTGCGTTGCTGTTCTGCGGATGCAACGTTGGCACGCCGTCGACTTGCAGTGTTGGCAAGCCGTAGCTTTGTACTGCTGGAGCGCAGTCGACCAAGTCGTGCTGGAATGCTGTCAACCATGCTGCGCTAGTAGTCGACCTGCTTTCATGCTAGCTCTGATGTAGTCTTGTCTTGCCAACTTGATTGTATCATTGTTGTGAACTTTTGCAAGTGAAACTCTTGCCGACTTTCCCCGTGAACCAGCAAGTAGTGCAAGCACAAGTAAACGACTAAGGAACGAACGCAGAGATCCCTCCTATCCCGTGCCTAGCTTGTACTCTAGCTCCCGTTGATAGAGTTATCTCCGCAGGGGGGGTAGTGTAAGGAATTTTCCCGACATTCCTTACCGCGTTCTTCAACATCGCGCATAGCAGCAACCGTTGTTCGCCCATTACTGCTAACGGTGCTTCGCCAACTTCGCGTGCACTGTTTCACCAAACCATGCACCTCTGGCCCGGTCGAGTCGGCCGCTTCGGGACTAGCCTGAACCTCGATGCCAGCCTAGGACTAGCTACGGTAGCTCGCACGCACCGCGTTACCGTTTGCTTGTTTCGCGTATAAGTATTCGCTCATGCCTACCCTCATACTTTGTACCTCGTTTTCTTGTTCCATTGCACCATAACACATTTGCACATTTTCCGCAAGGAAAATGCATTTCCTCGCGATACCGTAGCGCCTCAGTAGAAGCATAATCGGGTAGTGTGTGTTATTAGAACAAAACCTAAATAGCGTGCAGCATAGTGACTAACACTGTTTGACCTGAGCGCGGCGACCAGTTCTAGAGGGGCCACTGCTAGTGGCGGTCGAGGGCGACGAGCAGCGCGTGACTAGCAGCGAGGGGCGGCGGGTGGCGGGCGGCGGGCGCGATGAGCGTGGTGCCGCGGGAGAGCGTGCAAGTGGCGGCGCACAGCATTGGCATCGCGAGTCTCGGCGATGACGTGGCTGCCGCGCTGGCGCCTGACGTGGAGTACCGCATGCGCGAGATTATCCAGGCACGGCCGCATGGGCAAGGGTGGGGCCGTGGGTGGGCGGGACCGCGTGGGTGGGGGAGGAAGTAGCACAACGGCGCGGGTGCGGGGCGAGGTCGCATGCGCGCGTACTCGCAGCCGTCGCATAGTCGCAGGCGACTCCCAGCATCGCTCAGCGTAGACCTCTCACAACCGCTGCTCCCGTTTCCTCGCTCCTCTGTCTCCCTAGGCTCACTCACTAAGCCATCCCCGCCCACCATACCACGCCCGCCCGCCGTGTGGTGCGCAGGAGGCGGTGAAGTGCATGCGGCACAGCCGGCGCACCACCCTCACCACGGCGGACATCGCGGCCGCCCTCAGCCTGCGGAACGTCGAGGTGAGCCCTGCTGCTGTCAGGTGTGCTGCTGTCAGGTGTGCTGCTGCCTCGCACGCATGCTGCTGCTGGCCAGCACTCCTCCCCGCCCCACACATGGCACTCTCGCACGCGCTCCACTCCTCCCTCATCTTCCCCCCCCTTCCTCTTCCTACCCCTCCTCTGGGGCGTGGCAGCCGCTGTTTGGGCTGGCAGCGGCGGACAGCGTGCGGTTCCGGCGGGCAGTGGGGCACAGCGACGTCGTCTTCCTGCACGACCCCACGCTGCCGCTCTCCCAGGCAAGGTTCAAAATTACGACCGTATTTTTGATTTTTTACCGTAAATTACGGTATCGTAAATCACGGTCGTAAATTACGGTAAAAAACGGTCAATCATTGTAAATTCAAGTTGGTTTAAAAATACGGTCGTAAATTACGACCGAAATTTTGATACCGAGTTTGCAATAGCGAATTTCGACATTTCCCAACCGTCACCCTGGGTTTGAGACATTCGTGCAGCCAAATGCACACGTGTTTGTATTTTTCCCGAGTCGCGCATGTCAGGTGTTTCTCGAGGCGCGACATTTTGTTTTTTGGCGAACGTTGTGCTGCTCTGTCGCCCTTACGAAATGTCAGTTTGTGAATTTCGCCGACGCGCAAATGTACAAATTTCCGCGATGCGGTAATTTGTACATTTGGCGAACCGTTATCACCCGTCAACCCGTTTCGCCAGGTCGGTGGGACGATTCGCGGCCCCATCGTTATTTTCGCCCGCGTGCACGACACAACCCAATTTTGCGCTGCGAAACAATTTTAACCAATAGCGTTAGTCCAATCTCCATCCCATCACATCCCATCCCTTTCGCCTTTTCCATTCGCCAAAGCAACACAACCAAGTCTTGCAAGGTACAAAGAGCAGGGCGATAAACCTACTCGACAAGTACTTCTTAGTAGGCATTTTACAGCTTCAACCATCTGCTGTATTCCACCATGGTTAGACCTTTCTCGGAGGTGTGGGAGCACGTGACGAAGGTTACATCTCCTAGCGGCGTAGTCACCGCGACATGCAGCTATTGCCCTGCTACCGTGACCCCAAATGCCACTCGTATTAGAGAGCACATCTACGGGACCCCTCGTTCAAGGGAGAAGAACGTGACGCCGTGTCCGTCCGAGTTTGCCAAGCGGCTTCGTGAAGCCGCCGAGAGGGATCGGTCTTCCACACCCTCCAGTTCCAACCGTGCCTCTACCTCCACCACGGTCGAGACGCAGCCCGCAAGGCGTTCTAGGCAGCGGGACATCCGCGATATGGCGGATACCGTTGCCTGCGCGCGTTTGGACTACCTGTGGGCGGCAGTTGTGGCAGAGAATGATCTAGCCTTCAACGTCTCCAAATCGCGTGCGCTACAAGCCTTCGTTGACGCGGCGGTCGTGTTCGCGAAGCCCTACACACTCCCAACCCCTTACAAGGTGTCCGGCTCTCTCCTCGACAAGCTAAGGGCGGACGCCGAGGAGCTTGTAAGGCCATTGAAGGAGAGTTGGAAGACGACCGGGTGCAGTCTCTCGGTGGACGGGTGGACGTGCATGAAGTCCCGCGGGATTGTGTGCGTCATCGCCCACAACGACACCGCGCCCGTCATTGTGGACATTGTCGACTCGAAAACCGCTAAGAAAACTGGAGACTACCTCGCGGGTCTCATCGGGAACTCGATCTCCGAAGTGGGGAAGGACCTCGTGGTCCAGGTCATCATGGACAATGCGTCTAACAACCGATCCGCGGCTGAGAAGCTTAAGGAGGAGTTTCCCTCGGTTTTTTTCGCCAACTGCGCCGCCCACTGCTTGGATCTTATGCTTCACGACCTAGGGAAAGTTGGGCCCGTCAAACGCGTGTTAGAGCAAGTGCATCGAGTCGTCATGATGATCAAGGGTAGTGCCTCCGCCGTCGTTCTATTCCGCGAGCTCTTTACCAAGCTTTCATTGGTGCGGCCGGGTGCGACACGGTTCGGCACTCAAGTCATCATGATACGCCGCTTCTTGGAGGTGAAGGGGGCACTCCAGGCCATGGTCATCAGCGATGAATGGAAAGGGGTGGCGGTGGCGCAAAAGGCTGAAGGGCAGGAGGTGCGGGCGCTTCTTCTTGACGACGTCTTTTGGGACTGTGTTACTGCGGTGCTCCGCCTCCTCACGCCGGTTTATGAAGTGCTAAGGGTGGTTGACACGCGGGCACAAGTCATGGGCCAAATCTATGGCCTCATGATTGATATCACGGTCAAGACACGGGAAGCTGCAGAGGCCGCCGGTAAGTCTAAAGCTCTTTTATGTTTAGTTCTATTCCTACTTCCGAATCTGTGTTGCATGCTTGATCACACCGCGCGTGCCATTCCCTATGTTAACAATAAACTCCTCCATCCACACCGTGAGCAGCCTCGGTATTCATCAAGAAGACGGGCCTGCTCTTGGCCAAGGACAAGAGCACTTTCATGGCATCCATCAAGGGCATCCTTGCCCAGCGATGGGACGGGCAACTCCACAACCCCCTGCATGCCCTGGGATGGCTTCTTAATCCCCGCAACCAGTACGCGGGGGAGGTGAGAACCGATGCGGAGGTAAGGAAGGGGGCCGACGCGGTGATTCAGGCCCGGGGGGGGGGATGTGGCCCAGCGCATCAAGCTGCAGACACAGCTGGTGCAGTTCCATAAGGGTGAGGGCCGCCTCGGGTCGGATGATGCGCTATGGGCAGCCAAGACCTTGGTGGAGGGGGGGCGCATGACGGATGCGGAGTGGTGGTGGATTTTCGGTGGGGAAGTGCAAGCGCTCCAAGAACTGGCTGTCACGACCCTATCACAGCCCGTCACCTCGTCCGAGGTGGAGCGGTACTTTTCCGCCCTTGCACGAGTGCAAAGGCGGGATCGGAACCGCATCGCGGCCAAGAAGATGACTGATGTCACCTTCGTGGCCTTCACCAGGAGGGCCCGCGATGCGTTTGATCGCAAAACTCAGACGCGTGCGAAGTTGTACGCTGATCTCACCGACGGAACCCTCAAAGAGGGCATTCCCGTGCCCCCGCCCGCAACAGTGGAAGAGGATGAAGGTGGGGCTGAAGAGGAGGAGGGAGCCGAGGTGGCAGAGTGCACCATCGACTGGACTGTATTTGGGAGCATTGGTAAGAAGAAGAAGAAGAAGCGCGCGGGAGAGAGCTCCAAGAGGAAGAGGAAGGAGAAGGGAAAGGGGCCATGCAAGCGGAAGGGGAGAGGAAAGAAGCGTGTGGTGGAGGAGGAGGAGGAGGAGGAGGAGGAGGAGGAGGAGGAGGAGGAGGAGGAGGAGGAGGAGGAGGTGGAGGAGGAGGAGGAGGAGGAGGAGGAGGAGGAGGAGGAGGAGGAGGAGGAGGAGGAGGCGGCAGAGAGCAATGGGCGGGAGGTAGGACCCTCCAAGCGTCCTAAGGCAGTCTGGCCGTGGGACTGCAGTGATGGTGAGAGTGGGGAGGAGGAGGAGGATGAGGAGGAGGAGGAGGAGGAGGAGGAGGAGGAGGAGGAGGACGACGAGGAGGAGGAAGGGTAGGAGGTGGAGGAGGAGAGGAGTAGGAGAAGGTGGAGGAGGAGTAGGAGGTGGAGGAGGAGTAGGAGGAGGAGGAGGAGTAGGAGGGAGGAGGAAGAGGAGGGATTAGGTGCAGATTTGCCTAGGTAGTGTAGTGTAGTTTCCTATAGGCTTCCTTGTCATCGTTGTAAGCTGCCTAGAAGTTTCAGAAAAATAAAAAGTACAAAAAAATGTCCAACAAAAAAACGGCCGTATTTTTGCCAAAACCACCGTAAATTACAACCGTAAATTACGGACCGTAATTTACGACTGCCGTATTTTTGAACCTTGCTCCCAGGTCGCCCGTTCACTCTCCCAGGTCGCCCGTTCACTTTCACACACCGCTCACTTGCTCACCTGTCGCACATGGACTGTCACCATGTCGCACATGGACTGTCACCATGTCGCACATGGCCTGTCACCATGCCGCTGCCATGCCTGCCGCGCCTTGTGGTTTCCACTTGCCATGCACCAACTGAGCTGAAGCTTCTCGGCAACGGCACTTGTCCTGTGCTGTCCCTTCCTTCCACTGCCCGCACCATCGCTCTCCGCATGCCTGGCCGCGCCACGCGTCTCACCACGTGCGAGCCTGGGCGCCCCCCCTGTCCCCTGCCCCCGGTGCGCGGTGCCTGACATCACAGGTGGTGGAGGCGGGGCTGCCGTGCGCCCCGGCGGACGTGAGTGTGGCGCCGCACTGGCTGGCCGTGGACGGCACCATGCCCGCCACCCCTGAGAACGCCCCGCCCGCAGGTGGGGGGGGGGGGAGAGGGAAGGGGATGTACAGTGGTGGGATGCGGTGTGGCATGGGGCGATGGGGTTGGTGGTGCTGCTGGGTTGGGAGAGGGCTGAGTGGTTAAGGGACCAACGCAGGTGCGGTGGGGGAGCATGACGACGCAGGTGCGGTGGGGGAGCATGACGACGCAGGTGCGGTGGGGGACCATGACGACGCAGCACAGCGGCTGTAGTGTGGGAGGGGTGGGGTGAGTGGCTCACTGAGCGAGGCCAGGCAAGGCGAGGCCAGGCAAGGCATGGCCAGGCAAGGCGAGGCGAGGGTGCCATGTGGTCCGTGCAAGCATGCACATCCCCTTTGAAGGGCCGTGCGTCCCATCCCATGCCATGCACGGCTCCCTCGCCAGCACTGTGCCTCGCCAGCACTGTGCCTCGCCAGCACTGTGCCTCAGCTGCCGTGTGCGCAGCACTGTGCCTCAGCTGCCGTGTGCGCAGCACTCCGCTGCCTGCCCGTAACTGCCACCCACCCACCCTCACATGCTTCGTCCCCCCTCCCGCCCTGTGGCCCGCAGGCATGCCGGCAGCAGCAGTGAAGGCGGAGGCGGGGCGGGCAGCAGAGGGCGGCGCACAGCGAGCAGGGGGAGGGGCAGGTGGGGGGGCAGGCGGGGGGGAGGTGGTGGAGGTGAAGCTGCCGGTGAAGCACGTGCTCTCCAAGGAGCTGCAGGTAAGCACGTCCTCTCCAAGGAGCTGCAGGTAAGCACGTGCTCTCCAAGGAGCTGCAGGTAAGCACGTGCTCTCCAAGGAGCTGCAGGTAAGCACGTGCTCTCCAAGGAGCTGCAGATAAGCACGTGCTCTCCAAGGAGCTGCAGGTGCCGCCCTCGCCCTCCTTCCCTCCTCCTGCCTCTCACATGCACCCCGCCTCCCTTCGCACATCGATTCTCGTTACCATCCCTGTTTCCTACGCCTCCCTGTTTTGCTCAACTCCCACATTTTTTCCATTGGTCAGTTCAGCCCTGCACACAGACACCCAGGAAGCCCCTCCTTTTGCATTCCCTTGGTCGCTTTGTCTCGTCCTGGTTCTTGTTGCTCACTCCTTTGCATTCTTACTCCAACCCTCTCTTTAACACCTCCCACTCTGCCTTCTCCCCCGCACCGCCCCCCCTCCCCACGCGCCCTGGCCCGGCCAGCTCTACTTCGAGCGGGTCACCGAGCTCGTGCTGCTCACTGCCCGCCCCCCTGCCCCCGCCGCCTCCGCTGCTGCCACTGCAGGGGGGCAGCAGCAGCAGCAGCAGAGTGTGCTGTGGCACGCGCTGCGCAGTGTGGCGGTGGATGCGGGGCTGCACGCGCTGCTGCCCTACTTTGTGCACTTCATTGCTGACGAGGCCAGTCTCCCCCCCCTGCACAGCATTGCAATGCGCTGCACCGCCTCTTCCCCTCACCTTGAGTGCATGTGCTCCATCACACAACCAGCACACAACCAGCACACAACCAGCACACAACCATCACACAACCAGCACACAATCAGCACACAACCAGCACACAACCAGCACACAACCAGCACACAACCAGCACACAACCAGCACACAACCATCACACAACCAGCACACAACCAGCACACAACCAGCACACAACCAGCACACAACCAGCACACAACCAGCACACAACCAGCACACAACCAGCACACAACCACCACACAACCAGCACACAACCAGCACACAACCATCACACAACCAGCACACAACCTGCACACAACCAGCACACAACCATCACACAACCAGTACACAACCAGCACACAACCAGCACACAACCAGCACACAACCAGCACACAACCAGCACACAACCAGCACACAACCAGCACACAACCAGCACACAACCATCACACAACCAGCACACAACCATCACACAACCAGCACACAACCAGCACACAACCACCACACAACCAGCACACAACCAGCACACAACCATCACACAACCAGCACACAACCAGCACACAACCAGCACACAACCAGCACACAACCAGTACACAACCAGCACACAACCAGCACACAACCAGCACACAACCAGCACACAACCAGCACACAACCATCACACAACCAGCACACAACCAGCACACAACCAGCACACAACCAGCACACAACCAGCACACAACCATCACACAACCAGCACACAACCAGCACACAACCATCACACAACCAGCACACAACCAGCACACAACCAGCACACAACCATCACACAACCAGCACACAACCAGCACACAACCAGCACACAACCAGCACACAACCAGCACACAACCAGCACACAACCATCACACAACCAGCACACAACCATCACACAACCAGCACACAACCAGCACACAACCAGCACACAACCAGCACACAACCAGCACACAACCATCACACAACCAGCACACAACCAGCACACAACCAGCACACAACCAGCACACAACCAGCACACAACCAGCACACAACCAGCACACAACCAGCACACAACCATCACACAACCAGTACACAACCAGCACACAACCAGCACACAACCAGCACACAACCATCACACAACCAGCACACAACCAGCACACAACCATCACACAACCATCACACAACCATCACACAACCAGCACACAACCATCACACAACCAGCACACAACCAGCACACAACCATCACACAACCATCACACAACCAGCACACAACCATCACACAACCAGCACACAACCAGCACACAACCATCACACAACCAGCACACAACCAGCACACAACCAGCACACAACCAGCACACAACCATCACACAACCATCACACAACCACCACACAACCACCACACAACCATCACACAACCAGCACACAACCAGCACACAACCATCACACATCCAGCACACAACCAGCACACAACCATCACACAACCAGCACACAACCAGCACACAACCATCACACAACCAGCACACAACCAGCACACAACCAGCACACAACCAGCACACAACCAGCACACAACCAGCACACAACCATCACACAACCATCACACAACCATCACACAACCAGCACACAACCAGCACACAACCATCACACAACCAGCACACAACCATCACACAACCAGCACACAACCATCACACAACCAGCACACAACCAGCACAGAACCAGCACACAACCAGCACACAACCAGCACACAACCATCACACAACCAGCACACAACCAGCACACAACCATCACACAACCAGCACACAACGAGCACACAACCAGCACACAACCAGCACACAACCAGCACACAACCAGCACACAACCAGCACACAACCACCACACAACCATCACACAACCAGCACACAACCAGCACACAACCATCACACAACCAGCACACAACCAGCACACAACCAGCACACAACCAGCACACAACCAGCACACAACCATCACACAACCAGCACACAACCAGCACACAACCACCACACAACCAGCACACAACCATCACACAACCAGCACACAACCAGCACACAACCAGCACACAACCATCACACAACCATCACACAACCATCACACAACCAGCACACAACCATCACACAACCAGCACACAACCATCACACAACCAGCACACAACCAGCACACAACCATCACACAACCAGCACACAACCAGCACACAACCAGCACACAACCAGCACACAACCATCACACAACCATCACACAACCACCACACAACCACCACACAACCATCACACAACCAGCACACAACCAGCACACAACCATCACACATCCAGCACACAACCAGCACACAACCATCACACAACCAGCACACAACCAGCACACAACCATCACACAACCAGCACACAACCAGCACACAACCAGCACACAACCAGCACACAACCAGCACACAACCAGCACACAACCAGCACACAACCATCACACAACCAGTACACAACCAGCACACAACCAGCACACAACCAGCACACAACCAGCACACAACCAGCACACAACCAGCACACAACCATCACACAACCATCACACAACCATCACACAACCAGCACACAACCATCACACAACCAGCACACAACCAGCACACAACCATCACACAACCATCACACAACCAGCACACAACCATCACACAACCAGCACACAACCAGCACACAACCATCACACAACCAGCACACAACCAGCACACAACCAGCACACAACCAGCACACAACCATCACACAACCATCACACAACCACCACACAACCACCACACAACCATCACACAACCAGCACACAACCAGCACACAACCATCACACATCCAGCACACAACCAGCACACAACCATCACACAACCAGCACACAACCAGCACACAACCATCACACAACCAGCACACTACCAGCACACAACCAGCACACAACCAGCACACAACCAGCACACAACCATCACACAACCATCACACAACCATCACACAACCAGCACACAACCAGCACACAACCATCACACAACCAGCACACAACCATCACACAACCAGCACACAACCATCACACAACCAGCACACAACCAGCACAGAACCAGCACACAACCAGCACACAACCAGCACACAACCATCACACAACCAGCACACAACCAGCACACAACCATCACACAACCAGCACACAACGAGCACACAACCAGCACACAACCAGCACACAACCAGCACACAACCAGCACACAACCAGCACACAACCACCACACAACCATCACACAACCAGCACACAACCAGCACACAACCATCACACAACCAGCACACAACCAGCACACAACCAGCACACAACCAGCACACAACCAGCACACAACCATCACACAACCAGCACACAACCAGCACACAACCACCACACAACCAGCACACAACCATCACACAACCAGCACACAACCAGCACACAACCAGCACACAACCATCACACAACCATCACACAACCATCACACAACCAGCACACAACCATCACACAACCAGCACACAACCATCACACAACCAGCACACAACCAGCACACAACCAGCACACAACCAGCACACAACCATCACACAACCAGCACACAACCAGCACACAACCAGCACACAACCAGCACACAACCAGCACACAACCAGCACACAACCAGCACACAACCAGCACACAACCATCACACAACCAGTACACAACCAGCACACAACCAGCTCAAGCGCTGGAATGCATCATGTGTCGTGTTGGGCACATCCCACTTTCTCGTGGAACCAATCCTCCCTGCTCTCTTCTCTGCATCCGCATTCTCTCATCGCCTCCTCGCACACGCCCAACTATTGCTACGTCTCCCCGTTTTCATCACGCCGTGCCATCGTCTCGTCTCCTCATCTCATTCCCTCAAACCCCAGGTGATCCGCTCGCTGGACGACTGTGCGCTGCTGGGCAGCCTCATTCGCCTCGCCAGGGCGCTGCTGCTCAACCCGCACCTCCACATGGAGCCATACGTACGTGAGTCATGGAGCCATACGTACGTGAGTCATGCAGCCATACGTACGTGAGTCACGGAGCCATACGTGAGTCACGGAGCCATACGTGAGTCAGTGCGCGCACATGAACCTCCATGCTCCATGGTTGCATGCACTTGTTTCTGTGGTGGCAATTCTCTCCCTTCCCTCCCTCACTCCACCTTCCCCCCCTCCCCCCCCCTCCCTCCCAAACTACCAGGTGCACCAGCTGATGCCGGCCATGGTGACATGTGTGGTGGCCAAGCGTCTGGGCGAGCGGCAGCACCATGCCCACTGGCACCTACGGGCCTTCACTGCCACGCTGCTCGCGCTCATCTGCCACAGGTCACCTCACACCTCCACCATGTGCCACCACCACTCCCATCACCCGGGCCTTTATGTGTTCTCCACCGCCTTTCTCTTATTTCCTTATTGGCGCTCGTTGATTGTTCTCATGCATCGACTGTATGCTTGTCGTCCAGGTTCGGCCGAGCCTACGCGTCGTTGCAGCCTCGGTTGACGCGCACCTTGCTGCACACCTTGCTGGACCCCAAGCGCTCGCTGCCTCAACACTTCGGCGCCATCCGCGCTCTCACTGCGCTGGGGCCCACCGTGGTGCGCCATGCCTGCTCGTATCATGCCTGCTCGTATCATGCCACATGTGACGTCCCTCCAGACATGCTTCTGCACTGCCTGGGCTTCCTCTCTCCCACTCTCTGCTGTTGATGCTGTTTTGCACTCTCCTTATCCTGCCCTCCTCACTCGCCCCTCCCTGCTCGCCGCCCATCACCACCGTGTCATCGTGCCAATGAGCCCCCCCTACCCGCTGCACCGCCTGCAGGTGCGAGTGCTGCTGCTGCCGCACCTACCGCTGTACGTGCGGCTGCTGCAGGCGCACATGGGCGTGCCAGGGCTCTGCTCCGCGCCACCCACCCCCGCCAAGCAGCAAGACGCCTGGCGGGTCTGGGGCGCCGTGCAGGTGAGCGGGGAAGGGGGCCGTGCAGGTTTGCTGTGGGCAGTGAGAGGTGAGTGCTGTGGGGGCTGTTGCATGTTTAGTCGCACACCCTCTCAGAGATCTCGCCCCAGTTGACACAGTCAACTTCTATTTCTGCTTTCATTCTCACCAAGCCTCAGTCTTCCCCGCATGTCCCTCATGCCTGCCTCTCCCCCCTGCCCACCTTTCTCTCCCCCCAGCAAGCAGCATCAGTGGCGGTGGCGCCTCACCTGCGCCTCTACCACCCGGCGCTGCTGCCCCGCCTGCTGGAGGGCGGGGAGGTGGAGGGGGCAGCACAGGGTGGAGAGGGCGGTGGTGAAGGCGGCACACATGCAAGCGGAGCAGCAGGGGCAGGGGGCGCAGCTGGGATGGGTGGAGGGGCATGGGGGAGGATGAAGCGTGTTGGAGGGGGGGTGAGATTCGCTGCCAGCCCGCGAGTAACTGTACCCGCCGTGCGCACCGTGCCCCCACTGCCGCCGCCGCTGCCCTATGCGGCGGCGGGCAGGGAGGCATCGCTGCTGCTCTTCTTCCCGGCGCTGCAGCGGGGGCAGCAGCGGGGGGTCGGGCTGGCGGGGCTGGACGGCTTCCACATGGGGCTGGGCCAGGGGGGTTATGACGATGACGACAGCAGCGAGTGGGAGGCGGGTGGGGCGGGGCGGCTGTGGGCGGTGGCGGAGCGCGTGGGGCAGGTGGTGGTGAGCAGTAGGAATGGCGGCGGGCGCGACTACGAGGTGGACGACGCTCCCACCAAGGCCGCTCTCGCAGCCCTGGCTGGGGTGCGCGGGGGTGCTGACACGCAAGGGCAGGGCGATGTGGGGAGAAGTGAAAGTGGGGAGAATGTGGGTTTGCTGGTTGAGGGGTTGGTTTACTTGTTAGGGGATGCAATGATCCCTCTTGTACCCACTGCACCCTTGTTCATGCATCTGTAAGTGCATTTTATTGAGGCTTGTTTATTTTTGGTAAATGCAAAAATACTCAGGCGGTAATACAGGTTTGTGGCAGCATTGTGAGTCACATGCTTCCCAGTTCACGGCATGCCATCCTTCCTCCAGAGGGATCTGCTGTGGCCCATGCACTCGCCCGCACACACCTGCGGCGCACAGCAGTGTACTCTCCAGGGCTTTCTTTCCATGGGCTTCGTTCATTGCTACCAAGTGTCACTGGAGAAGGAGTACCTCTTCAGGTTCATGCAACATCAGCTCAGCACCGTACCACGCCTTAACCTATCCAGCTTCAAAGCTGATGCAACGCACGGCAGGGTGCATCAGAGCTCATCATGCGCGGGGTGGATGTCCCTCAGCATGGCCTCCAGCTGCTGCTCCAACTCCTGCTCCCAGGGGAGGGGGGGGAGTGTTGCAGGGTGAGGGCGTGTTGGAACAAGTGAGGGGGTGTCGGAAGAAGTGAGGGGGTGTCGGAAGAAGTGAGGGTGTGTCGGAAGAAGTGAGGGTGTGTGAGGGGAGAGAAGGGTTGAGGAGATGGGGGGTGTGTGAGGGAAGATGCAGGGTTTGTGAGAGGAGATGTGGGAGTGTAAGAGGGGTCAATAATTATTGCATTGGCAGTGCCAATCACATGGTTGCAGCTGGCATCATCGTTAATCATCACAATAAGCAAGGCAAGAGTCAAGAGACGACAAATTATGCCCCTGAAATGCAACAGGGAAAAACCGGAGAGCAATGGACGAGGGGAGTGGAGTGGAGAACAGCTAAGACTGGTATGATTGCAGAACAAGGCCGAACACAGGTGGTATGCCAAGGTGGTATGCCAAGGTGGTATGCCAAGCAAGCAGGAGGAGAATGAAGGCTTAGAAGATCTATCACTCTTGTTGGATCAGGAGGAGGGCACGTGGAGGTGGGCGGCACACCTTGGCTTTTTCTTCCGTGCACACTGACGGCGTGGTCATGGTGGCGGCATACCTGATGGCACCACGGGGGGGATGGGGAACAGATGGAATGGTGATGGTGGTGGTGAGATGCGAGGGAGGCACGATGAGATAGCGGGTATGGTGTGGATAGAAAGCTGTGGCATGGCTTAACACGGGGTGGCATGGAAGAGCATAGATGACATGGGATGGCACGGTGGTGCGTGATATCAGGTACCTTGCTCTCGACACTCCATATCTAAGACGCGCTGAATGAAGTTTGGGCTTGAGCTGACTTGCGAGGTTACCGGATTCGAAAATGCCCCAATGGGAACAGACAAAACATTCGACCTATGGTTTGAATGAAAGTTCGGAAAAACACACACTCGTTTCCCATGCACTCATTGTGTGGCTCCAATCATGCAAGTGCCCATGGCATGGAGTAGGTTCCGGACGTGTGTGAGGAGAGGGCGAGTTGGTACGCGGAGAACGTGAGGGAGGCATCCAAGAAAAGTGACGGAGATAGTGGAAGGAACCGAGCAGAGAGAGATTTGAGTAACGGGAAGCGAGTGAAGGGAAGTGAGTGAAGGGAAGCGAGTGAAGGGAAGCGAGTGAAGGGAAGTGAGTGAAGGGAAGCGAGTGAAGGGAAGTGAGTGAAGGGAAGTGAGTGAAGGGAAGCGAGTGAAGGGAAGTCAGTGAAGGGAAGCGAGTGAAGGGAAGTGAGTGAAGGGAAGTGAGTGAAGGGAAGCGAGTGAAGGGAAGTGAGTGAAGGGAAGTGAGTGAAGGGAAGCGAGTGAAGGGAAGTCAGTGAAGGGAAGCGAGTGAAGGGAAGTGAGTGAAGGGAAGCGAGTGAAGGGAAGTGAGTGAAGGGAAGCGAGTGAAGGGAAGTGAGTGAAGGGAAGTGAGTGAAGGGAAGCGAGTGAAGGGAAGTGAGTGAAGGGAAGCGAGTGAAGGGAAGTGAGTGAAGGGAAGCGAGTGAAGGGAAGTGAGTGAAGGGAAGCGAGTGAAGGGAAGTGAGTGAAGGGAAGCGAGTGAAGGGAAGTGAGTGAAGGGAAGCGAGTGAAGGGAAGCGAGTGAAGGGAAGCGAGTGAAGGGAAGCGAGTGAAGGGAAGCGAGTGAAGGGAAGCGAGTGAAGGGAAGCGAGTGAAGGGAAGTGGATGGAGAGTGAGAGCGGGCAGTGGGAGAAGGGAGGGCGAGAGGGGCGACTGACTCGCAGCGGTTGGGCTCGTCCACCGCCAGCACCGCCACATCCGCCCCGCACTTGAACCGCACCTGCCATGCCATGGCCACGCGCCCCGCACGGGGGAGAGATGAGGGGAGAGAGAGAGGGCGCGCGGGTAGTGAGAGAGGTGTGTGGGTGGTGGAGGGAGAGCAGGTGCGAGTGTTGAGGGTGGAGCGAGCATGATTAGGGAGTGATGAATTTCTGCTCACCTTGATGGTCACAGTATCACAATGAAGCTCAATCACTCTGACATAATCACCTTGATACTCCTGGCTGGTCCGTTCCAGCAGTGCTCACCTTGATGCTCCTGGCTGGTCCGTTCCAGCAGTGCTCACCTTGATGCTCCTGGCTGGTCCGTTCCAGCAGTGCTCACCTTGATGCTCCTGGCTGGTCCGTTCCAGCAGTGCTCACCTTGATGCTCCTGGCTGGTCCGTTCCAGCAGTGCTCACCTTGATGCTCCTGGCTGGTCCGTTCCAGCAGTGCTCACCTTGATGCTCCTGGCTGGTCCGTTCCAGCAGTGCTCACCTTGATGCTCCTGGCTGGTCCGTTCCAGCAGTGCTCACCTTGATGCTCCTGGCTGGTCCGTTCCAGCAGTGCTCACCTTGATGCTCCTGGCTGGTCCGTTCCAGCAGTGCTCGCCATCCTCAAACGCCATCACCGTGTGCTCCTCCTCAAACCGCTTGAAGTGCCTGCGCGCCCGCCCCGCCACACACACACACGGTCAGGGGGGGCCATGGAATGGAACGTAGCAGTCTTACACGTTTGGTCAGTTCCCCAACATCAGTTCCCTCTTGATTCTTTCCTACCTCCCCTCATGCCCCAACACGATTGCACCACCACCACGCAATGATGCCGTCACGCCATCATACGACGGTGCTGTCACAGTGATCATGCCGTCATGCAATGGTGCCGTCACACTGACTCACCCAAGAGTCGTCTCGGAGTGCCCTTCCTTCTGCACCGCCTTCTTGTACGGGCAGATCTCATACGTGTACCTGCTCCGCCCAGCCGCCCCACGCAGGACACACGGGTGTGGAAAGAAGCAAGTGCATGGTTACTAGTGCATGGTTACCAGTGCGCACCAACAAACCCGTGCAGGCGGGGGATGCGGGACGGTCCCAAGCAAAAAGGAAAGTGAACCGCAAATAATGCAGACAAAAGGGAAGAGCGGCATGCAAGAGAGGCATGATAGAGAGGCTTGGCAAGGAGGCATGCAAGCGACTCCCTTAAAAGAGGGACATCCGTTGCACACAGGGTGAACAACAGGGCATGAAGCAACCGAGGTGGGTAAGCTCGGCAAGTAACGAGAAAGTGTGTGCAGCGCTTTGGGGGGGCGAAAGGGGGCCTCACTGGTTGGCGTTGAATGAGAAGCAGCGGTCAACGAGGTTGGAGAACTCCCCGTGTGGCCCTGCGAGGGGGCACATGGGGATGGGTGTACGTGAATGGGACGAGGGGGGTGTGAAGGGGATGAAAGAGCAAAGATTGGTGCTGAGGAGCAAGGAGGTTGAAGAGTGCGAGGAGTAGAGGCACGTCGTGTCCCCTCTGTTCCACTTCCTGAACCATCAGCGCCTTCGTTGCTGCCAAGTAAGAGGACGCAGAAACAGCAAAAGCAAGGAGCCTTCGTTGCTCCAAGGAGCAGAAAGCGGGGGGAGGGGGAAAAGCGTCGTGTCAGCAGTGCACAGTGCATGGAGGTGAGGTGTCAGGTTGCACAAGAAACGAAAGCACTTCCCCCCACACCTCTCACACCCGGTCACACGCGTCACAACTGACCATAGTCGCGCTTGAGCTTGTCCCTCAGCACCTTGGCGCGGCTCCTCGCCTTCCTCAGCTGCTCCTCCACCCCCCTGTGCTCCTCCCGAGCTGCCTCCACGCCTGATATATGGTGCAGGCAAGGGCGTGCTCACCGCACGCAAGCATGCACCCATGCGTGCGCGCGCACACACACACACACACACACACACACACACACACACAGACACACACGCACACACAGACACACACGCACACACACACACACACGCACACACACACACACACACACACACATGCACACACACAAACATGCACGCACGCATACACTCTCGCACGCACGCACACACGCACGCACGCACACACGCACGCACGCACACATGCACGCACGCACGCACGCACGCACGCACGCACACACACACACACACGCGCACGCACGCACGCACACACATGCATGAGGAGTAAAAGGACAGAGTCAACAGAAGGCGAGAGGATGAAGACTTGGAAGCATCAACCAACAGCACACGTGCTGCACCCTCCACGCTACTCATACACTCTACAATAAAACGATGCTTCTGTGTCGTGAGTAGAAGGCCACGTGCAAGCCATGCTGTGGCATGTACTATGTGGCAACGCCATGATGCCGTGCTGGCAGTGCGCGAGGCAGCACTCACGAGAGGCGTTGAGGGTGAGCGGTGGCGTGGGGGTGGCGAGGGAGTAGAGGCGCGAACACACGGCCATGGGCCAGTGGAGGGTGCGAGCCAACCAGACACTGACAGGTGTCACGGCTGGATGAGAGGCACAGCGGAATGGGAGGCAAGAACGTTGAGAGAAAATGGTCAGAAAGCAGGCGCATGCACGTGAAAGCAGGCGCATGCACGTGAAAGCAGGCGCATGCACGTGAAAGCAGGCGCATGCACGTGAAAGCAGGCGCATGCACGTGAAAGCAGGCGCATGCACGTGAAAGCAGGCGCATGCACGTGAAAGCAGGCGCATGCACGTGAAAGCAGGCGCATGCACGTGAAAGCAGGCGCATGCACGTGAAAGCAGGCGCATGCACGTGAAAGCAGGCGCATGCACGTGAAAGCAGGCGCATGCACGTGAAAGCAGGCGCATGCACGTGAAAGCAGGCGCATGCACGTGAAAGCAGGCGCATGCACGTGAAAGCAGGCGCATGCACGTGAAAGCAGGCGCATGCACGTGAAAGCAGGTGCATGCACGTGAAAGCAGGCGCATGCACGTGAAAGCAGGCGCATGCACGTGAAAGCAGGAGAGGGAAGTGTTGGAAAGAGGCTGCTCATTATCCATCCAATAGCCCCACAATCTGGATGGATTCTCCTAGAGTTTTTGCTGATTGCACCTTATCCACCTGATCCCCTTCCCACATTGCAGCCATATTCCGTGAAGAAGCACGTGAGTGCATGTGCATGCATACTTTTCTCGAATCAGCCCTTCATCGCCCTCACGCTATCTCGTCTAGCCTACAGAATCATCTACCATCTCATTGCCTTGGTGTACCGTGTCATCTCTCACACGCCATGTCGTCTAACCCCCCGTGTCATCTCACCCGCCGTGTCATCTCACCTGGCGGGTCATCTGGGTTGAACTCCTCCAGCTGCTTCAACTCCTCCACACTCACCTCGCCCTCCTCCCCATCCCCCTCCTCCACTCCTCTTCCATCTACCCCTGCCCCTCCCTTGCCCTCATCCGCCTCCCCTCCCCCCGCGCCCATCCCTTGTTCCAAATCCGCTGCCTCCTCCTCCCCCTCACTCTCACCATCCCCATCCGCGTCCTCCTCATCATCCTTGCTGTAGTCCTCATCCTCGTTATCAGCATCCTCCTTGTACTCATCGTCGTCATTGCCACTGTAGTCATGGTCATCATCATGATCATGATCACCGCTCTGCACCGCATCCGGATCAGCATACCCCAAATCAGGGGGTGGCAACCCCTCGTCCACCACACCTTGCTCTGCCGCATGCCCACTGTGCTCCTCGTGCTGCTCTCCTCCCTCCCCCCCGCCAGTCCATCGGGAGGCAATCCGCCGCCCCATCTCCTCTTTAGACAGACCTGACAAATCCTCGCTTCCACCTTCCCCCTCGCCCCCTGCTGCTCCCTCCTCTCCTTGCCCCTTCTCCTCACTTCCTGTGCCCGTCACTGCACTCGCCGCACCATCGACACCATCCCCAGCTGCCCCATCAACACCACCAGCCTCAGCGTCCCCACCATTCCACAGCTCCTCCGCCTCTGCTGGCACCTTCCCGTCCCAACTAACCGCACTCCCCCCACCACCACCACCATCAGCACTGCCGCCGTCACCATGAGCAGCGGCGGTCCTCACCGGGCGGGTGTGCGCCACAAGGGCGTCCCTGGCGCGCTGCTCCCTCTCCAGCCTCGCCCTCCACGCCTTCTCCCTCCCCTCCTGCCGCTCCCACTCCTCCTTGCGCGCTGCACTCTCACATGGGTGCATGCACACAGCAGACACGCACACACGCCCGCACGCAGGCACATATGCACTCACGCACGCACGCACACAGGCACACACGCACACGTGTACACATGCACGCACACTCACATGCGCACATACACACACGATGCACACACGCATGCACATGTGCACGCAATAACACACGGAGCAACAGCGGAGAGGTGTTGTGGGGGGCTGTTGCAGATGTGTGCAGCAGTAGCATATTGACGATGAGAGTGAGTGGTATTCAATGGGGAATGAATGGGTGTGAGGGTGAATGAGTGAGTGTGTGTGAGTAGAAGACAGCAAAGAGCACAGGAGGAGGAGAAAGACTGGGACCATAACTTGAAAGACGAGGGTTGGGGTGGAGGGGAGAGCGACGAATGTGGAGGGCAGGGAAGTGGGAAGACAAAGGCAACGAGCAGGAGGAAAAGAGAGGGCATGCGAGGAGCAAAACAGGTAAGCAGAAAAGAGAGAGGTGCCAGTGTCAGTCATGACAATCATAGTAGCCAAACAGACTGAACTGAACTCGTTCAAAAACAAGTTCATTTGAGACGAATCTACAAGGTGGCGATTCTGAGTCCATTGCAGGTGATGAGCAAACCAAGTCTCAGCTGGGCACATCCAGCTAGCAGAGGCGATTGTACTCCTATGCAGGTTGCTAGCTAGCTGGCTGTTATGGCACATGCAAGTAAGTCATTAATGGCAGTGGCTGGTCTGCTTTCTCTCCCCCATTGGCCGCTGCGCATTCTAGTGGACGACACCGTGGGGCTGAGCAGCAGGGCAGCGGCAGCGGCAGCGGCAGCGGCAGCAGGCACGGGCGATGGAAGCATTGGCAGAGCTGGTGGCCCGGCAGCAGCACGGCCGTCACTGCAGCAGCTTAGGGCGCCGCCGCCCAGAGGGGTGGTGGGGGTGGCGCCTGCGGGTAGGCGTGAGGGCGGCAAGGCAGGGGCAGAGCGAGGCCATGGTGCGGTGGCACAGGCGCAGGCAGGCGCAGGGGAGGGCGAGCAGCAGCGCACGCAGGGGGCGGTGGCAGAGGAGGAGGGCGAGCAGGGAGTGCATGTGCTCTGACATGCCATGCCCGCACGGTGGGGGGGGTAGTGGCATGGTGGCGGTGCCGAGTCGGGCAGCAGGACAGCGAGTGGGCGGCAGCAGGATGGGCAAGCGGGCGGCAGGTCGGGCGGCAGATGGAGGCGATGCAGTGAGGCAGGCACGTTGCGTAGCCAACGGCGAGGAAGAGATACGCACACAAGGACACACGGACAGGGGGTTGGGTTGGGGTGCGGGATGGGGAGGAGAAAGAGGTGGGGCAGGAGTGGACAAGAGGGCAGGCAGGTAGAATGAGGTCAAGCACGGTGAGGTGGTCGGGGCACGGTGAGGTGGTCGGGGCACGGTGAGGTGGTCGGGGCACGGTGAGGTGGTCGGGGCACGCATGCGTGTGATGGGTGACCTGTGAGAGAGCAACGGCCATTCACCTTTGAGCGCCTTCTCACCTTTGAGCGCCTTCTCACCTTTGAGCGCCTTCTCACCTTTGAGCGCCTTCTCACCTTTGAGCGCCTTCTCACCTTTGAGCGCCTTCTCACCTTGGAGCGCCTTCTCACCTTTGAGCGCCTTCTCACCTTTGAGCGCCTTCTCACCTTTGAGCGCCTTCTCACCTTTGAGCGCCTTCTCACCTTTGAGCGCCTTCTCCTGCTCCACCAGGTGTGCGCGCCGCTCCTCCAGGTGCGTGACCTCGCGCTCCCACTTGTCCCTCAGCGCCACGTGCCCCACCACCGCCTTGCCTCGCAGCTTCACGCCCTCCCTCACCGCCGCCACGTCAGCTGCCAGCTGGCTGCGCGTCTCGGCGCCCATCTGGACACACGTGTTGTTGCAGCCCGCCCCGCTGGCGTACTCGTCCGACCCGTCACAGCAGTCTGATGGGCGCGGGGGAGGGAGGGGGGGCGGAGGGCGAGAGAGAGGGATGGGGGGGCGAGGCCACAGCATTGGTGGAGCGTGAGGTGAGGCATCTGGGAGAGGAGAGGCATGCTCACGCAGCCTCATGCTCTTGACGCATGCCCCAACACACATCCCAGCACATGCCCCTCGAGACTGCACTTAACCCACAGGGCATCCAGCCAAGCCACAAAGGGCATCACTTCACAGCGGATGGATGAATGGAGACACAGCACAAGAGCATGACAGTGCACTGACCGCAGATGCACAAGAGCATGACAGTGCACTGACCGCAGATGCACAAGAGCATGACAGTGCACTGACCGCAGATGCCGTCGTTGACTCGCGAGGAGAAGAGCGTGAGTGGCATGTGGCCGCGGTTGGCGCAGTAGAAGCGCGCCAGCGCGCATGCTGACGTGCCTGCAGGGGGACCAAGGGTGCGGTGGAGAGAGGGCAGCGTGGAGAGGGGTGGACGGGGTTGAAGCGGGCGGGGTAGGGAGGAGTGAAGGGAGGAGGCCAGAATGGAAACACACGCGGAGCCATGGTAACCTGGTAACCTGGTAACCAGGTCCCTCCTCACGAGCCCCAGTGGTGAGGTGGGGTGGCACCCACCCGGCTCGTCGGTGCCATCAGCGCAGTCACAGAAGTCGTCGTTCACCCGCTGCACCGCCACTGACCGCGACCCGTCGCGGCACCGCACCTCGCTGCCCGAGAAGTACGCCACGTCTGCCGCGCGTGACGCGCGTGAGGCGTGGCGCATGCGAGGCGGGGCGCGGCAAGGCGGATGGGCGCAGGGCAGGCGGACATGGAGAGGGAGGGAAAGGGCAGAAGCGGGGGGGGGGTGGGGAGTGGGGAGAGATGAGCGGGTGGAAAGGGTGGGGGTAAGGGAGGCGAGCGACCGGCGGGAACAGCGCCGGGCGGCTGACGAAGCCGCGATTCGCCTCTCCACTCCATGCGATCCCCACTCCGTGCGATCCCCACTCCGTGCGATCCCCACTCCGTGCGATCCCCACTCCGTGCGATCCCCACTCCGTGCGATCCCCACTCCGTGCGATCCCCACTCCGTGCGATCCCCACTCCGTGCGATCCCCACTCATTCCGCCGCTTCGCTGTCGCTGCGGGCTAAACGGCTAAGTGGCTACACGGGTCTCGGCGCGCAGTGGGCGAGCGGACAGATGCGCGCGACGCAAGCTGCAGCGACATTCACGTTCAACTACGCCCGCGCTCGCTCGCCCGCTCGCTCGCGCGCGCTCGTGCGGGCGGGACGGCAGCGTGCGCTGGACTTGTGAGTCATCTTGGACCATGACCGCAGCGCCATGGACTTGCCTTGAGGGGCGACGCCGCGAATTGACGGAGGAGCGGCCGCGAGCGAGCCGATTGCGAACAACACCAATGCGACGACTGCGATCGCGAGTGCTTGCGGGAAGCAGGCGAGCGACCTTGGCGATGCGCGAAGCAGTGCCATCGGGAACAATGTGAACAGTACCGCCGCGAATTGTGGCGGTCAGTATAAGTCTTGAAATTGAGATAGAGGTGACAATCTGGTCGTGCTGACCAGTCTGGCTGGCCTGCGCAGCTCTCAGAGCGCTGGGATCATGGATAAAAGCTCGCAGAGCAGAGCAGAAGCTGTTTGCGGGGAACAGACCAGATGGCGGTGGATGTGGTGGAAGCGGAATCGTCACCCAAACTACACCATACTCAGTATCGCGTGCATAAATATTCATCTGCACCTTTTGTTATGAGTTGTGAAAGAAGAGCATGTACAGAATGCAATAACACGGAAGTGAGTACAACTAGCACAGATATAGCGAAAGGCTAGCTAGGTGGGGTCCGCGAAATAGCGAAGGTTGGGTGCTCGTTCCGGGTTGTCAAACCCAAAGGCGGCGTGAGGGACGTTGGCGAGGTGGTCGGACCGAGCCTTGTCTTTTGAAAGTTATGATGTACGCGACCCAAGAAGTAATTAGGAAAAAACTCATTGCATTACCCCCTCTTTTAAGAAGGTGGTCAATATCGGGCACGTGGCGGCAAGAGAGATAGACACGTGACGCACGTGTCATCTTTGCCCGCCCCAATCTTGCGCCAAGTGTTCGGCCTGTGGCAGAACCAACACTTTAGCCACGAAAGATATTGAACCATCGCGTGCTTCTAACGACGACAGAAAGCCATGTCGACTTCCTCCTCCGATGGGCAAATCGTACGAGCGAAGATGACACGTGCGTCACCCCTGACTATCACGTGGCTAGGGTGACGCACGTGTCATCTTCGCTCGTACGATTTGCCCATCGGAGGAGGAACTGACATGGCTTCTTGTCGTCGTTAGACGCACGCGATGGTTCAATATCTTCCGTGGATAATGTGTTGGTTCTGCCACAGGCCGAACATTTGGCGCGAGATTGGGGCGGGCAATATCGGACGACTCAGGTGAGACGAAATGTCAGAGGAGATTGGCGAGGAATGCATCGTGGATTCGCCAGTCATCCGACAGCAGCACCTTTGGTGTGAAAGGTGTCAGCATCTTAACGAAGCGAAAAGGTCCCACGAATCTAGGACGGAGCTTCACTGGCTGGGGCAACCGGAGGTTTTTCGTATACAAAAGGACCAGTTGCCATGCATTAAAGGGAAAATCTCTTCCGTGTTTATTAGCGTTGTGGCTGGCGACGGTATTCGCCTTGCAAATAAACTCGAATGCTTTGTCGCGGTAACTTGAAGTTTTGTGACAAACTGCTGAGAGCACAGTATCGGGTTTTAAGGTGTCGTTGACGAGGGTACCACTGAATCTGCCACGTAATCGATGTAAAATTGGGATTGATTGGTCGTTGCCAAAGTTGCGTTGTTATACGGAAAATTTAGCATCGCGATTGAGTCTTCCTACCTGGACATTTTGGGGCAGTTGGTGCGGATCAGCGGTGTGATTTGTCAGTTCTGTTTGGCCGTTGCTTTGCGGGTGGTATGACAACAAAAACTGCTGGCGGGTGCCATTTTGTACCCACATCTCTTGCCAGAACTTCGACAATTTCGGTTCTCGATCGCTGATGATCACCGAAGGTCACCCCTGAAGGCGAACAACGGTGGAGATGATCGTCATGCCGCATGGCGCGAGATGTGCCATTTTCTTAAGCGGTCAACGACGACCAGTCCCATAAGGAAATCCATCGTTACTTGTTGCCACGGCCATTCTCTGAGTCATCTGCAATGATTGACCGTGTGGATGAGATGCTGGAAATGCAATTCAAGTGCTCGGAGATGGGAAATGTGAACTACTACCTTGGGATGCATGTGGAGAGGGACCTTGACAAGGGAATGTTGAGGTTGCACCAGAGGAAGTAATGTGAGGGGCTGGCGGAGAAGTATGGGCTCCATGATGGAGGAAAGCCAGCTACCCCACTGCCTTCGGGGTTCACTGTGGAGCCCTGTGCTGATGAGGAGGTGGTGGGTGAAAGTGACGGGAAGCTGTTTCATTCCATGGTTGGGGCACTCAACTATGCGGCAAACCACGCGTGGCCTGACATAGCCTTTGCTACATCCACGCTTGCCAGTGTGGTCTCACGCCCCAGTCATGAGCAGATGGAAGCGGCCAAGAGGTTGGTCCGCTATGTGAGTGCTACAGCATCAGTGAGCTTGGAGTACAGTGCTGTGCAACAGAGGCTGCAATGAGGTGCAGCTGATCTGGGCAAGGGGGACATGCTCTTGACTTGCTACACCGACGCTAGCTTCAACTCTGTGAAGGCGGATGGCACCAGTATTGGAGGCTATGTGTGCCTGTTTGGAGGTGGTGCAGTGAGCTAGAGCAGCACGAAGCAGAATAAGGTGGGGCTGTCCTCATGCGAGATTGAGTACATAGCCTTGCATCATGGGGCCAAAGAGGTGGTGTGGCTGAGACGTTTGTTGGAGGAGATTGCAGTTGGTCAGAAGGAGCCGACTGTGATGTTCTGTAACAATGAGTCGGCAGTGAATTTAGCCAAGAATGCTTGTCTTCATGGGCTGACAAAGCACATCAGGCCCAAGTGGCACTGGGTGAGGAGGCTCCTGGAGAAGTGGCATTGGGTGAGGAGGCTCTTGGACAAGAGGTGTGGCTGGAGATTGTGAAGACCCATCAGCAGGCGGCTGACATTCTCACCAAGCGCCTGGCTGAACCTGAGCATTGGAAGGGCATAAAGCTTGCTGGAATGAGTGTGCATTGAGGGTGCATGCTTGAGCTATGGCATGTGCGATAATGGTAGGCAGCCCAAGGGGGAGTTTGTTATGTGATGCTATCATTTGCATTCACGTCTGTCTGCCTCCCATCATATTTTCGTGCGTTGCATGCATGGTGTGAGCGTGTCCAAGAATTTGTGTTTGGTGTGGTTTGGATTCTCTGAGTGTGTGTAAATTTTATTCTGCTTGAGCAGATATCCAAAATGACTCCTCTGCTCAAGAGCTTTCTGACGAACCAAGAATCGACGTAATCGGAGCAAGAACGAGAAAGATATGATCGTTCGAAGTTTTGATTGAGATGCGGCGACTACGGGAATTTGTGGCGTGACTCAATATGGGGTATAGACTTTCGGAGGTTGGGAAATTCGTCACTACTACTGTAGTTGCTACCAAATGGTTGGGAGAAGCCAAACCAGGTTGACAGGTGTGGCCAAGTTAGGTGAGGTGGATGGCATGGGTTGGGAAAGTGACAAATGTCAAAGTTGGAGTGCCTATAGGGAGGGAATTGTGTAACTATAAGGTTTTCTTGGTTGGGGACACCTTGGGGACCTTCCTTCTTGTCCTCCTCATCTCTTCCTGCCTGGTTTCAATCTACTATGACTTTCTTGTGTGGTACTTGTGAGATAATTGTGATTGAGTTAAGTTTCTATGGCAGCATACCCCCTAGTGCGCCGAACATGATAGCTCGAGTTATACTTCATCGTTTGATACGATTCAAAATGGGAAAGATATGCTACAACATAATCGGGTTTGAGAACATTCTAACGGTGAACTTTTCGTTGACAACATTTCTTATGAAGTCGACGATTCCATCCAGAATTATAGTCCAACGATTTTGAGATATTTTGGCCCCTAATCTTCATAGACTCCGTCCTTAATCTCTAACATTACTGTCCTCTGTCTGTCGAGGGTGAGCTTGCCCTTGCCTATGACGTCCTTGAGGATAGACAGCTTGAGCTCGAGTGCCTCGCGACTGCTGTATCACATATCGCTGCCATGTTGCTTGCCCCTGAGGGAGACCCGGATGCACTGGACATCCAGACCCCGCGCTCTTACGCAGTGGCGATCACGGGTCAATACTCCTCTTAGTGGCAGACAGACATGGATGTAGAGATGGTATCCTGGAAGTCCACAGGCACCTACGCCGATCTAGTTCCCCCTCTTAGAATAAACATAGATGATGAGATGTTCATTTTCAGGTTGAAGGTGCCGCCGGGTTCCCCGCCTGTCTTCAAGGCACGTTACGTTGCACGATGCTTCAGTCAGTGTCAGGGGGTCGACTACTTCCAGACCTTCTCCCCCACCCCAAAGATGACCACTCCTTGGGTGTTACTGCACGTTACAGCACAGCGTGACTATGAGCTGCACTCGCTTGACTTCTCCATATCTTGTAGGGCAGCCTCCACGAAGAGATCTAGCTGCGCCTTCTACTTGGCTTCACTAGGTCGTTTCCTAAGGGTACCGAGTGGAGGCTCCAGCGGCTAGTCTATGGTCTCCGTCAGGCGCCTCGCGAGTGGCACGACACACCAGAGACGACACTTGCGGCTCTTGGCTTCGCTCCTACAACTGCCCCCCGTCGTTGTTTCTGCACACCAAATCTACTTTGCCAATGTTCTACATCTTTGTGTACGTCAACGACATGGTCTTTACGACTGTTGACACCAAGGCATTGGCCCTTGTAAAGGCTGAGCTCTAGAAGAGAGACACCGGCACTAACGTGGGTGAGCTGCGGAGCTATCTTGGCTTGCAGATCACCCGAGACAAAGCAGCGCGCACCATCACTCTGACTTAGCCACACATGGTTCAGCAGGTCCTTGAGCGCTTCCGCTTCAGTTCTCCTCGCCACTATCCACTCCTCTACCTACAGGCCACTCGCTCTCAGCTCCACCTTTGTGTTGTTCAG